TAGAAGATAGTTACAGAAAATTATCAATGAAATAGTAGGTTGAGTGAGATGACTGTAGTGTTTCCTGTTGCCTTAAAACTGTGAATCTGTGGAAAGGCCATGGCCTGATGCTGTCCCATCACTGGTTTGGCCTCTTTTTCCAGGTTCTGGATTCTGCATTAGTTTTCCAAATTACTGGGGTTTGTGCATGGTATAATAATATAGTTAGTGAAAAAGTCATTAGCAGCTGGTAGGAAAAGCCTTTGCTTCTTATTACTCAGACAATTGAAAATGTTTATTGGCGGTAGTTATTATTTTCAGATAAAGCTGCCACTGGATTTGGTGCAGAGTATGTAAGGTCACGTCGACAGCACGCAGAACTTGTCAAGGGAGTTCCTCCCTTTCATCTTGAGCCTGGCTGGGAGCTGCTGAGATATCCTGACAGGACAGCACTGGGTGGGCACAGCAGCTCACCAGCTGCAAGAATTAAGGCTTTGTTGTCACAGGACTTGCTGCTTTAGCTGTGATGCTCTGGGGACAGAGCTGTGCTGCTTGCTCAGCCCTACCCCAGGGACTTTCATGCTCCATCCACTCTATGACACCCATTTGGCACTCAGGTTTCATTGTTGGGTGGATTTCTGTCAATTTAAAGGTGAATTGAGCAGTACAAATTCCCAGGCTACCCTTTGATTCAGCAATCAGGCAGTGCCCTTGTGCTGGTGTTTATTTTGGGGGTTCACATGAGTACAGGTAGCTCCCATGTGAGTGAGTTTGCATGAGGCAAGTCTGTGTGAGTCACAGAGCATCTAGACTGTGTCTGGTACAAAAACCTAACTTCTCTCAAACCACACGATGAGTTAAACTCTGAGGTAATTTCATTTCTGGTAGTATTTGGAAAATGTTATTTTATCCCACCATAGATATGGGCCTTCCAGTGTTTGTTGTGGTTTTATCTTCTAATTTCAGAGATCATAATGTCAATATCTCAAACAGGCAAAGTAAATAAGAGTTGTAGGTGGAATCATGCTTCAACCAAATTTAGGTGGTAGCAAACATGGGTTAATATCTCAAATGCATCAAACAGAAAAACATAAATTAAATTGAGGGCAGAAGATTTATTTGTGATGCATTTTAAAAGGATTTTTGTTAGCTCTATATACCTTCTAGATTTAGCAAATGTATGTGCAAGAAAGGAAGTATTTTGTTATAAATTTAATTCCATTCTTTCTGCACATGGGCAAAACATTCAAGTCAATATGCCCTTTAGTGGATAAATTGAAGAGCATTATGTTTTATGTATCTAGTCCTGCACAACTCTTTTAATTTGTATTTTTTTAAATAAAACATGTTCATAGACTTTTGCAGAGTGTTTCTGCAAAATGTAATTTAGTGTGCCGTTCTGTGAATTCTCACGCAGAAAATGTCAGGTACTTAATACCTAAACCATACAAGACATTGCCCTAACAATTCCATCTTCAGAAAGATTAGTGTGTGTGGATTTTCTGTAATGTGTGAATGAATTATTTAGATAGCTTACTTGAAAGGTGGTGAAGGAGAGGGAAATCCTGTGCAGATAGAGAAATAAGATTTTTTTTTTTTAACTGAAGGGTTTATCAATTCAGAATACTTTTCAAAGGCTTTGTATCAATGACATGAGATAATTGAACAGTATTTTACTTATTAAAAAAAATGAAATGTTCCTCATAGCACCCAGGGCTTGTATTTCAAGCCTTCTCAGTACAAACTATCTATATGGTAACTAGTGCATTCTTTATTCTTATACATTTCACTTAATGTTTGTTTGGGGTGGGGTTTTTTTGTTCTATTACTGGCAGTACTTCATATGAGTCATGTGTAATTAGTCCAGAAAATGTATTTTCTTTCAAAAAATTCCAACTCTATGTTTTCCTCCGCTTCTCCACATGTCAGAAGATTTTCCAAAGGCACCAATATGGGAATTTACATTCTTTTCACTAACCATGGACTATGCCATTTAACTTTTACATTAATCTAACTAGCAATGTCCATGCTCAGGAGTGGGTTTTGCAAAACCCACTTCAAATTAGATAATCAGAGTGCTCTGCAATTGTTATTAATAACTTGAGATGTAAATTGTCTCTGGATTCTAAATTACATATTACTGATATTTTTCTTCTATATTTTTCTGTAAAAATTAATTTTTTTCCCATACCACTTAGACAAACCCATAGTTTAGGATTATATTTATCAGTGCTGTGATTTTGCTTGGATTTCATCTTGCATGTCACATGTACTTCTGGTGTTTTGTTTGAGATGGGAACAGCAAGGAAGGGGATTTTTTTCTCCTGCAGGTGGGAGATTGCCATACAGCTGTGAGACCCCTTTAATTAAAGTCAGAGTAAACTACATCAGAAGAGCTGCTGTCTCAGTGAAGGCAGCTGAGCTATCAGTGCTCTGCTTTAATTAGAACTGTTAATATTTCATCCCTTACTGCCCAAAGTGTGACCTGTCAAGCTGCTGAGAGGCTGCCCCTTCCTGACAGGGTGCAGTTCTGAGCCCAGGATGGGCACACACTTAAATCCAATTTGTGCACGATCACTTGGTGGGTTGGTGGTCTTTTCTTTGTTGATGTGCTCCTTGTCTGCAAGAACAGTAAATCGCTGATCTGTTTATGCTAAAGGGTACTTGGAGTTGTTAAATAGCTTGTTAAAAAAGCCAGCCCACATCTCCTAACCCTAATCTTGCACATGGTTTGGGAGTGCCCAGCAGTTTCTTCCCTTCTAACACTTACTAGTAAAGCTTAACAGGCAAAATAGTGAGCTGGATATGGAACATAGATCCAAACTGGGGTGCAGTTATCAAGCTGGATTGAGCGATTTCTTGTCTTTTCATGGCTGAATGGGGAATGTCCTTTTCCCCCTGTTGCATTTCTCCCTTTCCCGGCTCCCTGTTCTTCCTTCCCTTGAGCCCAGGACATCCTCTGGAAGGCTGCAAGGCAGAGAGAGCAGGAGTGGGGAAGGCAGATGGCAGCTTATGTGAATTCTCAGTGAACTGCTCAGGGTGTCCTGGGCTGCTTTGTGTCATCCTCTGCAGCTTTCCTCACTCTGGAGTCAGTATCATTAGAGAGTTAATTACCCCAGGCAAAGACCCGTTCAAATAGGGAGATAAATGCATCTGACTGGAAGTTTTACACATTTAGGCTTTGCTATTAAGCATGTAAACAGTGTTCAGCTTGCATTTTGACAACTGGCTCCCCCTTGGAGCTGATCAGAGCAATGCCTACCCTGCAGCTGGAGCACTGAACCAGAGCTGCACTGCTGCTGTTTGATACAGTTCCCGGGAGACATTGAAATATTTCATACACAAAGCTGCTTGATCTCTAGCTCTGTATTTTTTGACACTGCTTCACTGCAGCGCAATTTCTTGGCTTTCAAAAAGTACATTTCTGTGTTAAAGACCAACTGCAGAAATCCAAAGCCTTGCCTTAATAGGTCACAAGCCAAAGTGGCCAAAGTGCCTTTTGTCTCTGTAATAAAATTACCTATACCATAATTCTATTTAAATCATGATATGGAATCATGAAATGAATCTCTTCAATCATTTCTTAAGGGGAAGAAAACCCTCTTGGAAAGAAATAGGTATGAACATGTGTTGTAAAATCCACTGGCTGTCATCTGAAAAAATAAAATTGTTCAGATGGAGAGCAAAATTATTGTCCAGAAATTAGGACCTAGATAAAATCCAAAAGCAATTCTTCATCTCTGGAGGAGTTTATCAATCTTATTTTGGTGTTACAAAGTACATTAGCAAATACATAAATAATGATTTTTCTGTCTGAATCCTTCTAATTGCTGTCCTCTGGAGTGTATAGTGTCTTCACTCCCTCTGTATTTTGCAGCTCCCTATGTCCTAAATCATTGTGTCATCAGTGCTCAGGGACACCAGTGATTCACAATAATTTATAGCAGTGAGTGCTGAAGTAGTCCCTGTCTTAAGGTTGCCACATTGTGATGGAGTTTGTGTGACAGTTTAACCAAGAAAGCAGAGTTGAGAAGCAGGACCCATCCTGCAGCACACATACAGGATGGGATGTAACCTCATTTAATCATAAACAATCTAACTGGAATTATTCTGGGTATAAGTAAACCTCTCAGTTCAAAGTTGCATTTAGCAAGAACTGAAGAAAAATTATTTTTGAAATTATTTAGAAGAATGGATCTGGTTTGTTAAAAAATTAAAAAGCCTGCCTTCAGGTTGTGATCATAGCAAAAATGTCCCTAGGATTAAATGATAGTAAAAAGAATGTCCATCTGGTGTTTCCATAAGAATAGAAACTGAAAATAGAAAACTGTAGTGCAAACCCACCTTTCCACTTTTTATTCCCCAGCACTTTTTCAGTAAAAATGTGGTTTGAGCTTGATTGACATGTTTTTAACATTGTTGCTTAATTTGCTGTGGTGTTTTTCCTGAAAATAATAATTTAATTAAAAAACAATTTAAACATTGTTTTGCCACAGTGTCAGATTATATATTTATTAAAGATTTAATTTAGTGGAAAATATTTCATTTAAAATAGAACAAAGTACTTAATATATGCAAAAAAATGGCTTTACTTACTTGATGTTCCTTTAAAAATGACATTTTTTATTTGACAAGCTAGTTTTTGGTAAGTAATCTGAAGAATAGTAATTCTCACAGGTTAAGTAAAAACCAAAGAGAAAGCAGATTTAATAAATTTCCTTTGTCTGTCTGAATACAAATAGTTAGCACATAGTCAACACTGAGTTATGTTATTCTCTCTCTAATCTCTTGCTCTTGCTTTCTAATAATTTGATGAACTGGATTTTTGCACATTAATTAGCAGTGCCTCTTTGAGACATGTGTAACAGTTTGAGGTGTGCAGTTTGCATTTGCATGACAAGTTCCAGTTATTGTTCTCCTGGCTGGTGAAGCACTGAGGGTTCCACCTCAGATCCTGGCGCAACAATAATCACAAAGCAATTCTGCCCCCTTTCCTCTTTCTCACCTTCTGCTCTCTCTAGAGCTTCATCTACAATGACCCTACGAGGTACTACAGGAGGCTGAACCCCAAAGATCCATCCCCTGGATCCAAATCCCAGCAGGAATTCCCTGAGGGTGCCCGTGGCAGGACGCTCCGCCAGCGCCAGCCGGACCAGCTCCTGCCGGAGCAGCGAGCGGGCCAGAGGAGCCTGATGGCCGCGCTGCACTCGTACATCACCCAGAACCTGTCTGCACACAGCAGCGAGAACAGCCCTCCCAGCAGGACTAAAGGCTCTCAGGTGTATGCTGAGAGCTTGTACTCCACACAGGGCAGTCCCTTCGATGGAACTTTGGCCAAAGGGAAAGTGGAAGATTTCAAGATGAGGAAGCTGCTCCAGCCGAGGCCTGGGCCTGGAGCGCTGAGGCCGACCCCTGAGGTGCTGAGTCACAAATCTGCTCCCCAGGATGAGCCAAAGGACCCTCTGAGCATCGTGGATGGTAAAGTTGATATTTACTTATTTTTTGTCACAGACATATTTTATAAAAAGTCCTTTCATTAGGGTCTTTTTTCCTGAGAAGCTTCAGCTTCGCCATGTTTTCCTGCTTTGGAATGTGGTTTGGAGAGTTGTTTACCCAGCATGTGAAATTGTTTTTACTGGGTGACCAATGACAGCCACCAATGAGCAGTCACAAGATTTTATTATCATTCCATTCCTTTCCTTTGCTAGCCTTCTGATGAAATACTTTCTTCTATTCTTTTAGTATAGTTTCAATATATAATTTTTTAATATAATATATATCATAAAATAATAATATTTATTATTTTATGATATATATTCAGCCTTCTGAAACATGGAGTCAAGATTCTCATCTCTTCTCTCATCCTGGGTCCCCTGCAAACACCACCACAATTTTTTGCTTACTTGAAGTTTCCCTCATGTTTACTGTGATGTTTTTGAGAAAAAGAATATAAAATTAGACATTTGATCTATCTCCTGGTATTGGCATATTTATATCTGCCATAAAAAAGTTATAATGTTCACCATTCCAGCTACTCTTTCCCTGCAATATCTACCCACATTCTTCAGCCCACCTTCCATATGCGTGCAGAAATACATGGCACTTAGTAAGACATAGCATTTATGTAATTTATTATATTTTCAAAGCATTTTACAAACAACGCATAATTATGGGTATATCTTTGCTCTCAAATCTGTTTTTATGCATTCATCCCACACTATATATATAGATGATACAGAAATGCCTGGTTTTGTTCCACGTCTCTTTATTTAACTAGAAATTCAAGGACCATGGGTAAAATTCAAAGTTAAGCACAGAAATTAACTGTGAGATGAATTCTGGTGCAGAACCAGAGAGAGAGGAGGGAGAAGGGAGGAGTCTGTCAGTTCCACGGATAGGTGAACAAGAAGGTGGGGTTGCATCTAGTTTTGTCTGGACATTCTGTAAAAAGGAACCCATTTCCTGGATTTTCATCTTTTTTTTTTTTTTTTTTTTGATAAAGCTGTTTAACAATGATTGTATCACATTGTATCATTAAAATGGAGGGTAACATCCCCATGCTGTGCTGCATGCAAAGCACTGCTTTATAAGATGAATCTTGGGGATCATGTAGACTTTATCATTCTGATTCATTTTGTTGTTCCTTTAAACTTATCTAACTATAGATGTTGTTCCAGTGGTTCAGGATGCCTGAAAAATCAAAGAGTTGATCCCAGCCATTGTCAAGCACTTGTATCTTCTACACTGCAGTCAGGACTACCTCAATGGATTTTGGTTATATGTGAGAGGGTTCCTTTGAATCCTTCTTTATCATCCATAAAGTGCAGTGTTCTTTGATTTCTTTTTTTTTTGTTTTTTAATAATATCCTCCAAAACAAGAACACACACAAACACACAGAAATGTCAGAGTTTCAGCAGAGGAAAGATAATGCTTGCAGTCTAAAGGATGCTCAGAAGTGAAAGCATTCTTGGTATGGTGCCCAGAGATAATAGGTTTCAAGGAATGAACTATAATGTAAAATCAAATCCAGGTGGCACTGTAAGTCTCTTGCACAGGTTAGACAATTTTGTTGCTAGACTCAAAACAAACTAGGCACATGCTGGTTTCATTATCCTCCAGCTGTTCCACTTCACCTTTCCTGGTAGGAGCCAACTGGGAAAAAAATGCTTAACACTTACAGGGAATAACATGTTTCACAATTCATTGGGTTGTACTATTTTGACTTCTCATACATAATATGCCCTATAGGAACTTCTGCCATTGCATTTGCTTTTAAATGTTGCATAGACAAGGCATTATGAATTGTTTGAGTAGGAAATAATGTGGTTTCCTTTGTATTTTTGAGTCACTTAATAATCTCACAAGAAGGTGGTGAGGACAGACGCTGGCATATTCAGTGCTTAAAATGCTGTACGTTGGAATGAAGGTGGTTTGGATTCAGGTTTCCCAGGCTGACCACACAACCTCTTTCTGCTTTTAACCTTTCTGCAGTCTCTCTTTTGTTTATGGATTATTGTAGGCTTGTGGGTTGTTTTTCTCTTGCACTCTGTGAACTACAGAACTGTAAAAAACCTGGAAGAAGAGGGTGCTCAGTTCTCTGATCCATCTGATAGAGGATTAGACAAAGGCAGTGGACTGGGAGAACAATCCAGAAGGTACTGAGCAGATTAGTACTGAGAATTGCTGCAAAACAGTGGCAGGTAAATTCTCTAACAAGGCACCCTGAGGGAGAAATACAAAAGAAGGAAATGTGGAGTTATTTTTCTATCAGATTTGGAAGTTGTTACCTCTAGGAGTAGCATGATGTGCGGGGCCACTGCCTTTGTAGTCACTGTGCAATACTGGAATTGTTAATCTCTCCTCTGCACCAGCCATATTTAGAATTTGGCTCAGTTTTGTGTGGTTTGTTCTAGTCTACTGATTTTTTTGTATGTTAAATATTACAGAACAAGTCTCTCTGTTCCTTTGAAAAGGTCACAGAATTAGTAATTCAGATGTCTTTAAAAAATAGCAAACTTCCGTGTTTATGGAACAAAAATATTTTTTTATACATCCTCGCTCTGGCAAAGCTGGGATCACCATTCCATATGGTGCTCAGCTGCTGAGGCAGCCAACATGTGGTCAGTAGGGTGATGGGGTTGAGGAAGACAGACCACACTGTGGAATTTCTAACAAAGTCACTGCTCCCATACCATGAGGTTGTCAGCCAAGCTGGCTTTGACTCTTGTGCCAGCAGAATATGAGGCATCATTTATATGCTGTACAATAAAAAGCTGTTTTCCCTGCATAAGGTGCTGATGTTACCTACTAGGGAATTCTACTGGTGGAGCTTATATTAAAAATTACATCTTCTAGGACATGTATGCTTTTACTGCCATTATGGTTCCAGGGTAACTATAAAAGGCAGTTTGCATTCATCAGTTGCAAAGCTGGAGCTAAGGGAGAAATCTGGTTTGCAGTTTGCAAGCCCTGTGAAACATGACTGAGCATTGCTGAGTCTAGTTAGGAGGGAGTCAGTGGGAGACTATAAAAGCTGTGCTCAGGTAAATGCATGTTCAAGTACATGTGCTGCTTAAGTGCTGTGCCATTGCAGTATCCATCTGCTTTTTGGTCTTTCTCCAACAATATTTTCTGATTTTAATAAATACATCATATTACCCAAAGGTGTTTGTAAACAGATGCAATGATATTTATCTGTTTATCAATGTTATCCAGTAATTTACAAATTATTGCAAACATGGCCAAGTGCCATAACAAGAAGTGTAAATATCCGTATTTACCATGGACAAGGATTAATACCATATCAGTAGCCATGTGAATTTAGCAGGACTCTTTATGCAGACCTGCATTCCACCAGGCTGTTTCAGACACTTTGGTGACTGTCCCTCCTGGGGTACTAAAAACACGATGTTCCTCATATTTACTGCCTTTGGTTATTGCCTTTGGTCCTTGATGTTTTAAGTCACATTGCAGCTGTTCATAAAAAGTAGATATAATGCCAAAGTTTTACTCGTGTCAATGCAGTGTTTAGGAGTCTGTTTGATGAACTGTGCCCAGGTGGCAGTGACCAGGGCAGGAATGCCAGTATTGGAGGAGCAGGATGCTCCTCCACATAATATTGAGGTTTTAGTGAGCCAGAAGAACCTGCACTGAGCCTGTCAGTATTATCTGGAATAGGGCCTGTGGCCATTCTTTATTCCTGCTCTTCCTTGCCCAGTTCCCCATTCCCATTTGTTTGAGATTAAGACTGCTTTTTTTGTTGACAGTGAATATTAAAGATGAGTCTGAAGATGGACTGGAGAGATAAGACTGGGCTAAAAATATAGGTAAAAAGAAAAAGCTAGTTGGGAAAAAATGGAATGAAAATGACAAGGATACATTGCCTGCATGTTGTTGAGTAGCTCAGTAGTTGATCTTGACAGCAGGCTGTGAATCAAATGAAATAAACAAAAATCTAGTTGTGTTACATTAATACAACTCTTTTAATGATATATGTCCTGAAATACAATTCTCTTTTAAGATTTGTCTTCAAATGATGTTTTATTTGTAAAATTTTAGTTTTGATTAGGATCTGACATATATTCTGTCTTTTCATTGCTGACTTTATTAGCTCTGCTTCAATAATTTAGGCTTTTCTGTCAAGATATTGTCCAATAGTTCTATAAAATATAAGATCAGAAATTATACCTAAGCAGACACAAGGCTCCTGTGGTAATGCAACAGTACTGTTTTCTTCCTACAGGTTAGTTTTCTGCATTGCTGCTCTGTGTAACATCCTCTCCATCCCTCTGCCAGGTAGCTCTTGTGCTTCTTGGAAAAGTGTCTTGAACTCAGGCTGATCAAGTGTATTTTAAAATTTTGTTGCAGTTTGGATTAATTTGCTCTTGTAAATTGCCTTCCTAAACTAAAGCATTTGGTCACTAGGCTTTTACTAAATTATTACATTCATAGCAGGGAATGGATACAATAAAATGGAGGGAAACTTTTCAAAGTTTTCTCTGAAGTGTTGCTAAGCTTCCATCAAACTTCAGTATTAATTTTGCTGCCTCCACAAATCTTGGCCACAGAGTTTGGCACAGATTGAGTTTACATCTTTGATTCACATTTCTGAGCACTTGCTTTCCTGTACAAAGATGTCTGCTATTCCAGTATGGTACCAAAATTTTTGTCAGCTGTCAGTTTGAAGTAACATCACAGATATAACCTGTCTTTTTTTATTGATAGTCACAATTAAGTGTACTTATAACTATGCTTTTTAAAGGAAATCTAAAAAGTTAACATGTTATAAGATTAGCTTGTATTGTATATTACTGAATTTTATAATTACATTAGTAGAATTTTGTAATAACATCACGGTAGATTATTGGAAAGATGTTTCCTTTTTATCTGGAAAAGAAAGTAAATCAAAGAAACACCTTTCTTGTGTGTCCACATCCTCTCAGACTCAGAGTAAATCTATTATTTAAGCTGTTTAGGCTCTTTTGCTTTTTATAGACTAATTAGTTAGAGGAAAATGGCATTATTTTGTTTGGTGAATTTTGGGTCAGGTCAGGGGAAATTAGTCTTTGCCTTGAGATGGAATTGGGATTCTGATGGTGAGATGCTGATGGTGAGCTCTTCAGTTAAAACTGAGGGGTTCAAAAATGACAGATGTGTCCAAGGTCTTGGCCTCTTATTCCCAATGAAAAATAATCCTTAATGCTTGTCTCCCTGCAAAATCACAGATGTTCCACTGCCTCTTCCCTGAAGCAGAAATTTGTTAACTATTTTAACTTTTTTCTAGTCTCTATGTACTTCTTCCTCCTTTGCTGTGAGGAAAAAGAAAAACCCTTATTTTTAGCCCTTCTTATGACATTGTTTTCCCACTTTCTCTACTTTTAAATTCACTTTTATGTGAGCCTGAAAGCTGACAGGATGATCCCAAAGTCCTGCTTACAGAGATGATGAAGATGTCCAACTACTGGGTTGATATGGATGGTGTTATTGTTAAGAAAAAAGGTTGGATGGCACCTTCAAACTGTTTATATTTAAATTCATACATTCAACAGAGATTTAAAAGCAGCCCTTATTTTCCTCTTCCTACACAATACTATGTGAAAGATTTTTCTTGTCTGTATGCATATGCATAAATATGTTAAATTTCTTATCAACATGAATAAGCAGAACAGAGGCATGACTGGAAATAGTTTTGGTGTGCTGCAGTAAGCACTACATTAGGCTGAATTTTTCAGAGTTCTACAGACTGATAGTGGAGATGCAATAAGTGCAGTCAGAAAAGTGCCCTCCCTGGGGAGATGTTATGCTTCATCTTCTGACTCACCTTTAATACCCATTGTCCTTGAATTTCCTTACCATCAAAACTTTTATCACATCAAAAGTGTTTTGCTGTTTGGTTTTGTTGGTTTTTTCTCAATGTGACTGGTAAAACATTCATAGCTGGCAAACCAAAATAAGTTCTATATATCTCTATATAATCTATATCTCTCATCTATATATGTAGATATGTATTTGAAAAAATATATATGTTCCAAGAGAAATTAATAAAATTTAGAAATTTTGTCCTTGACATACCCATATATATAGTGTACATTTATTTATATCCCCTTCTAATTGACGAGGAGCTTTTTGATTGAAAGACAAAATATCTGACTCATTGTTTCCCAGAACTCTGTGCAACTTATATAGATATACTTATCTTGTGAAAGCAAATTACCAAAGAAAACTGATCTCTAGGAAACAGTAATGTTTTTTGTACTGCTTTGCAGCTAAAAACAAAAAAGAAATTAGGCTACTTTAACACTTGCTTTTAGTATTTTGAGTCAATTTAGACTAAGGAGGACTGTTTTCTTGTAAAGAAAAAGTGATAATTTCATGCCCTCTCTCTAGGAGAACTTGCTGGGTTATAATAGCATACATCCCCCTGTCCTGGCACAGATTCACCTGGTCATAAACTTTAACATCCTTTAAGAATCCTGTATTTTCTGTAAGGAATGCAGCACCTTTCTTTAAAAAGCAGATGCTCTCCAAGAACAGAAAGCTATCTAAATCTTTTAGGAAAAATTAAAAATATAAGTACATGTGTTTCGTGTATGCAGTTAATGTGTTTATGTTGTTTTCTGATCCAGAGGCACTGATTAAAAATGTATTGAAGGACCTGGAGAAACACCAAGTGAATGTGGAGAATCTCAGCTCAACAGAACTGGATGAAATCGCCGATACTATCGCCACTGCAATACAAAGTGTTGACATTCAGCAAGAAACAGAAAAAAATGCTGGAAAAACTAGAGAAGACAAAACAGAAGCACAAATGAAGAAAGGAGATGCTCAAGGAAGGGTAGAGCTTCAGACTGCATTAATGGAAAACAGTGTTAATATACCAGGTATTTATTTTAGAAGTACAGCAAAAGACAGCTTCCCTGATTTTCCTCTATTGCTTCAACTTAGTGCTAGACTTCTAAAAATCAGTTTGAAAGAATGTGTGAGGAAAAGTTTCTGTATTTCCCAAAAGGCTGTGGAATTTTAGATTGTTGTTTTCTTTTTACAGCAGGTTCTTCATTTACCAAAAAAACCCAAAAAACAACTGTTTATGAACACTCGGTCTTCAAGCTTCACAAACAAGATAAAGCTACATACCCAATTATATTGAAATAAGAATTGCTTTATGCTGTGTGGTCTAATTTCCTATTCTTGAAAATGAGATGTTAAAGCAAAATGATAATGGAAATTATTATATTATAAGATATATTTCAAAATATGCAGAGAAAAAGATATGTTTTACAGATAGTAATTTTTTAACATGCCACAGTTACTTACAAAAGAAAATCTGTGACAAGTTACAGGCACAAACCCACTCATTCCCTTTCCTTCATAGGGAATAAGAAGAGTTATTATGGTTATTTGTTTCTGTCTGCACACATATTTTCCTGGTGATGCAGATTCAGGAACCACAGTACATGCCATTAATGAGTGAATGCCACAGTGGAACATAAGTTACTGCTCATCTATTTTCTATTTTAGGAATGTTATAATATCTAGTATGCCAGAAATGTGTACTGTAAGTCATAAAAAATGATTTTCACTGTTTTCATGGTGATATATTGAAATCCTTACTAGTTAGGTATATTCTGGTTATTCTTATTGCCAGATTTTGTTGTAAATTAAAAGGAGTAAGCTTGAGAATTTATCTTGAATCATGCTGAGGAAGATGAATGACATTCAGTTCATAAAGCAAAAAACCAGTGCTATTTGACTGAGGTTAAGGATATGACTGAATATTATCACTGTAGTTAAACTGAAGCATGATTTTGGTGACTGATATCTTTTGAAGTATGTAATTTTCTCCCACCAAAATAGGTATCAGGAAAATAAATGTTTCCTTTTCCTTTACCATAAATAATCCATTCAGCAAGCTAGACCCATTTTATTCTGTTTTTTTTTTTTTCTCAGATATTGGTAAACTGATATGATGATTTGACACTTAATTAGCAAAATAACACTATTACATTGGCTCTTGAAGTACTCTGTCTATTGATCTCACATTAATTTGCTATCAAAGTGGGGTTAGAATAACAAATTATACCGTGCTCCTTACTCTGCCCTTTCAGCTTTGATATCTCAATGTTTAAATCACATAAAAAGACCACTGCTAAGAAGCAGCCTATGAGAAGTCTTTGTTTTGTATATGATGTTTGCCCTTCATAACTATATGTTTGTGCTTTTCATATCCTACAGACAATGGAGTGCACGAAGCCAGTGTGAGAAGTGATAAAGAGGTAGAGTACCAGTATTTTAACAAAACAAATGTTCCATCTCAGAATATCAGGTTTCTGTGCACTGAAACCTGATATATTTCACACTTCTGAAATATAAGACTTGTTCTAAGTTTTGTGTGGCTATGATGCAATAACACACATGTTGTTTTGATGCATTGAAATATTAATTGAGCATTTATTTAAACCTTAAGCAAAATGGGTTTTGATGTTTGTTCAAAAATCAAAATAAAGTCCTTTTTTTCCCCTTTCTCCAATTTTTAAATAGACAGAATTCAAAATAGATTCACAAAGTTCAGAAAAATTCAGGTTTTTCCTCAAATCTGTAGATTTTGAGCAGTGAGGTGTTCTTGAAAATGATGTTCCCCCCTGTCCTTTGGCTCTTAGTTCTGGGGAACATTAGGTATTTGAAAATCTCTAAGCATTACATCTCATACCCTAGCTAGTAACATCAAAATTTTAACATCAGCATTTTAATCCAGATTACTTTTACAATATTCCTCCTGAGTCATTCTTTCAGATAAACAACACACAATAATACAGCGCAGTATTTTTTTTTTGTGGTTTCATTTTGATCTGAAAATAACACATATAGGACTCCAAACATCACACATGCAGCTAGTTTGGAAAGAAACACCTCATGCTTTTAGGTCATGCCACTAATGAATTTGACATTTAATACTATGCTTTCAAAAAGGCAACTTTAGCCCCCTAATGATGCACAGTTCATTACAGGATTTGGGATTATAGAACCATGTAGGCACTTTAACATCCTTTTCCCCTCTTAAAACAATGTTTTATATATATATATATATAGTGATCGTGATTCCTCTTCTGTAAGAAACTGGGAATTTCTAGGATGAGCTTTCAAATCACTGTCCAGCATCACAGAGAAACTGAGGCAGGAATTTCTTTAGCATGTATTGATTTGTTTGACTCCTATGGACTGCTGTCCAATATTTAGCCATTTTTGCGGTATATTCATCTTTCTTTTTCTGTTTCATGCAGCAGAAAAATTTCAAACAAATATTTTTTAAAAACTATGTGAAACTTCCCCTACTATGTACTCTATCAAAAGCTAATACTGCATGACTCATAAATGGGCAAATCCTCTTGTGTTCACAATAAAATCTCTCTGGTCCTTCTACCAAGCAAGGGAAACACACATCGATAGAGTGGCAGGAGCTTTAAACACCCACATGAAAATCAACAAGGAATGAAGTGCAGTAGTCACAACAGACTTACAGAGGATCTCATGTATAAATTTCTTAGTGACAGTTTGAATAGGGAATGTTTGAATAGAATTTATTGTGACACAGAGCACAAAGTGCCCATTAGCCATGATTTCCTCCCAAATGCTTGGCTGCAATAAAGTTATGTAATGACACTAGCTAATGAATTTTTCCAGGCACCTGTTTTGATTTTGGCTCATTTGCTTATTGTTGATTTATTAGACAGATTCTGGTTTTCTGTGATCATATTTTTAGCTTGTTGGATCACTCACATACAATTTGTCACCATTTCTAGAGATGAAGAAGGGAAACAGAATTGGTCATATAATCTGTTCCTTTTCTAGTGTTATAGCTTGTGAGACCCAAGAGTTATGAGTTTCCAGACCCAGCCCAGGAGTATTGATGGACATTTCTGCTTTGTCCTTTTCATTGACTTACTGATAACAAAATTTCATTTTTTTATCTGTACTTAGACACACAGACACATGGAAACTACTGGAAAAAATATAGTGGCATAATTTAATGCTCTTTATTATTATTGAAGAAACAGCATGTTCTTAACATAGTCTAGCAGCTTATAGAAATTAAGAAAATGACCATGCAACAGTTATATGAGTAGACTCTACTATAGCAATAAGAGTTTGAAAAAATTATAAGTTATATCCAGGTTTGGTGACAATAACCTTCCTGTGTTTAGTTTTAAAAATAATATTATTCTTTTAATACAGGATAACACTGCAAAACTGATTAGATTCTTGAATGAGAATGCATTAGCTGAAAAGATGCATAAAGACCTTATTCCTGAAGAACCTGCAAAGACAGAAACTAAGAAATCTGAAGAAACTGACCCTTCTTCCTCAGAAGAAACAAATGCTGGTGTGGAAAATGTAAAAAGTGAGACTTTCTCAAGGGAGCTGACAACTGCAAAGAACAGTGAGTCTGACTCCAAAGACCCAAGCCAGACCAGCTACTGGATCAAGAATACTTTAATGCAGGAAGGAAACTCCAATGAAAAGCCTCAGAAGAACACAGGACAAGGCTTACAACTTGAAGTGAAATCTTCTCAGGAGGAAGAATATGGCTATATTGTGACAGTGAAAGAGTAAGTACAACAGCCAATTTGAATGGCATTTTTAACTGGGGAGAAGATAAAATCATTCCACCTAGTGAAATATGAATGTACAAGAGGAAAATGCCACAGGCCTAATTTTTAATACATCTGAAACTGTTTGGAAGCTGTTCAGTACTTTGATGAAAATACGAGCAAACAGTTCAGTTTTCTTACAGTTGCCTTTCCTCCCTTTCAGGAGACATTAAATTTGTAGGTCTTTCACTTAGACCTCTCTCTATCTTCTCATGTTCTAGTGACCTTCCAATATGTCAGTAAGTGTGCTTATGGTTAGGATGAGAGCTTTAAATATTTGACTTGAAAGTAGTCTAAATATCAATGCCTGAGTCATTCTTTCAGAAAAACAACACACAATAATACAGCGCAGTATTTTCTCTGTGGTTTCATTTTGATCTGAAAATAACACATATAGGACTCCAAACATCACACATGCAGCTAGTTTGGAAAGAAAGACCTCATGCTTTCAGGTCATGCCACTAATGAATTTGACATTTAATACTAGACTTTCAAAAAAGCAACTTTAGCCCCCTAATGATGCACAGTTCATTACAGGATTTGGGATTGTAGAACCATGTAGGCGCTTTAACATCCTTTTCCCCTCTGTAGAACAATGTTATATTTAATTACTGATAGTGATTCCTCTTCTGTAAGAAACTGGGAATTTCTAGGATGAGCTTTCAAATCACTGTCCAGCATCACAGAGAAACTGAGGCAGAAATTTCTTCAGCATGTATTAATTCTTTTGACTGTCTTAAACTTATTAATAGGATTGAAGGCAATAGGATTGTGGAGGATTCTTTTTTATTATACTGTGTTTTATTATACTGTGTTGCATTGAAATGCATGTGGCTGCACATTAGAAACAGACCAGAAACTGGTGGAATGCCCTTTAACTGCGCTCATTCCTGCCTAGGAATGTTATGTTATTTTCCCCAGCTCAACACTACTTCCCTACTTCCCCCAGCTCGTTTAACTCATATCAATCTGGAAGACTCCTTTATTCCAAAGAGTTTCATGATGACACCATCTCCTTTGACTATTCAGATTTATTTGGCTCGTAAATGCAGTAAAGTTTAGAACTGCCAGAGCTCTGGGAAATGGGAGACATTCTGAATTTCAGTGTTCACAACATGGAGATTGCTCACTGTATCATCTTACCTGGTTTTCTTCCTAGCTACTCTCCCACTGATGGCTTTTTCCTGAATCATGTCTGTTATTATTCAATGGAACTTGCTGAAGAAGGTCATTTGTCCAAAAATTCCTGGTTCTTGAGGAGTTCATATACACAAATATAATTTACCTTCTTTACCATTTTTAATAGCTTTTAACTGGGTGGATGGCCAGGACCAGAGAGTGGCTGGAAATGGAGTTTCATCCAGTAACTCTGGGTGGACTCCAGTGTGCTCCACAGGGCTCAGTACTGAAGCCAGTTCTGTTTAACATCTTTGTTGATGATCTGGATGAAGGGATCAAGTGTGTCCTTGGTCAGTTTTCAGGTGGAGACCAATTTAGGAGGGAGCTTTGATCTTCTGGAAGGCAGGAAGTCTCTGAGAGAGAAAAGCCTCGACTTGCACCAGAGGATGTTCAAATTATATTAGGATTATTAGTATATTAGGAAAAACTTCACAGAAGGGTTGTCAGGCTTTGAAACAGGCTGCCCTGGGAAGTCACCATGGCTGGAGGTATTTAAAAGGCATGTCCCTGTGTCACTTAGGGACACAATTTAGTGGGGGACTTGGCAGGGCTGGGTTAACAGTTGGACTCAATGTTCTTAGAAGTCTTTTCCAACCTAAATAATTCTATGATTCTGCTCAGTGCTATAGCTGACATTTATGGGGAGATCCATTCCCTGTTAGCTTCTGCGGTTTAGCAAGCATGATCCAAGGAGGTATTAGCACTGCTGCACTGAACTCCATGAAATGCTAAGAAGATGCCAGCATTTAATTGTGCCACAAACCAAAGATAAATATTTCTATCTAATACTTGAAGTAAAGATTTGTGATACTTTAAAGACTTGTCAAAATGGCAGTCTGATTGTCAATGCAAGAACAGTGGGTCACTCCTGCTGTGTTTGTCAAGTGACCTTTCAGATGGTTGCAGCACTGCAATCCATACCAATCCATATTATCCATCAGGGCTAAGCTTTGGAATGAATTGACACTTTCAGTGTAGAAAATTGCCCAGCAAATCCTCCGCTGTGCTGCTTCAGTACTTTGTTATTCTGAGAAACCAATCAAGTTGGTGATTTACTTTGTTTACTCTTTTCTCTTTCAAAAACTGGCTATTCTACACAAATCTTTGTGTAAGATTTTTTTCTTTTTCAGTGTAATTGCTTTGAAGTGTTTTATTAATTTTAACTCTAAAATTCCAAAGTAATCTTATTTTTAAAAAGTAATCTATGGGATTTTATTTTCATTTTTGTTCTACTTTGCCATAGTTATAAAGTATCTCTGTTATAGTTGGGATACATCAGTGTGAGCTCTTTAGTCAGAGAAGTCTTGCCTTTGGACTTTTTCTATTTTCTGAAGTTCTAGTTAATCATATTTGGGAAACTTTGTTTTTGTTAAAAACCATGCCAATTCTCCCATTTGTTTGGCAGTATGTGCTCTATAATGAGGGCCTAGATCCCACAATCAAAACATTTACACAGTGTTTAGCCTCCTTAGTGTCTCATGAGGAAACCCAAAGCCTGACTTTCCAGAAAGTGTAGTTCTTGCCACCTCCAGTAAATCTAAATGTAAGCTGCTGCATGCTCAGCCATTTAAATAGCCAAGCTGGCGTGCAATCTCTCAAATATGAGACTGAGGAGCTAGACTTAAATGCACTAAGAAAAATCCTAGTTTGAAAGTTCATCTCTTTCCACTGCTTATCACAGAGTCTTTCAAGCTTCAAAATCAAGTCATGCTTGTCTGACGCCATGCTTGGACACATAATGCAGAGCAACCCATCCTGTTTTGTGATTTATCAGAGGGCTTGTGCTTGAAGTTTTTCATTCAAAGACTAGATCACAGACAGCTCATGGCAGCTCTCTCAGCTTGTGAGCCAACTCCTGGCATTGTTGTGTTATGCATTTCCAGGATAGTTCATGTTTTGTCATATGTTAGCTCTCAATGCAGACTGTCTGTGTAAGATTGCATAGGTTGTAAATCTGTTCACACCACTTAACTGAGTTGGATGCTGCATGCATGGCTCTGCATTTCATTGGAGGTAGCTGCAATTCTGCTCAGGTGCTGGGAAGAAGCGGGGCTTGTGTTCATAGTGTAAAGTTGCTATGGAATATGATTAGTCTGACCCATTTAACGTGTTGAAGGGTTGGGTTAATTGCAAATGCTTGATGTTTTTTCTCCACCTTTACAAATGTGATAAATGGTACTGCTTTGCATATAATGATTACTTTCCTCAGGATGGCATTCAGGTTAGGACCCTGAAGCTGGGTTGTGCAGAAGTCTTGGTTTATTTCTCAAGTTTTCTGTTTTCCTAGGCATATCATTAAATAATTGTATTTTTATGATCTTCATTATTTTTCCCCTACCAGGTGGAAACATTTTAATTGTATTTAAAAATTAAATTTAAAATAAATAGGAAAAATTAATCACAATATCTACAGCAATGAAACAGGGTTGATATTGTTTTCAGTTACTGGATCTTGATGTTTCTTAGAAGCTGAGCATTTATATTCCATGAGGCTTTGCAACTCTTTCTAGAAAATAATAACAGAATGTTCTTGTTTTTTAATACATCTATTCAAAAAGAAAAACTGATTTGATCCTCTCTATATATCTCACTGTCCTTTTTGAAATCATTATTCTACCTAAAAGTGCACTTTATTAAGGGAAAGAGATTTGTTCAGATTCTTCACTTAATTTCTACAACTTCCTTTAAAACTGAAGAGAAATTATAAATACATAAAAACCAGAAAATCTGTTGCTACTGAAGTCAGTTAAAATCACCAAAGAACAGCATTGCTGACATTAGAAAAAAAAAAAAAAATTTTTATCTGTGATTTTTTTCACTTCCCTTATATAACTCTTCCCTTGTATAAATAAGTTCTATAAATGTCCATAATTTATTTTAAAGCTGAAGGTTTTGCTTCTGACAACATAGCTTGACCCCCTATCTGAATAATACACGTAGAAAATCCTTTCCTGTGAAATTATCCAGTAGGTACAATTTGGTCTGTGTGTCTCAGCACCAAAACCTGTAGAGAGACATAATTCTAGAATTTTCTGTTGCCAACTCTTCATGCATAATTATTTATGGTCCCTAGAGTTTTCTAGACATGAAATCTTTCTTCCATCTATAATTCTTCAGTTTCCTTGTGATTCTTAGAAAGTGACAGAGATCATATCCCCCTTATTACTGCTTCACTGCCTCAATTTAGATATTATATATTCCCATAGGAAAATGATACTTCATGCTTCCTATTCATCCACAAGAAAATAACAGAAGCAGTAGTTAATCTGGCTTTGTCACAGAGAGCCATAAATACTGCCTTTTTTAATGCATGTGTTCAGCTTTGTATATCTTTATTATCTGTTATATGCACAGAGATGTGATAATCTGTTCTACTTCAGCTGCCCTTAGCTTTTGTGCTTTCACAATTTGTTGAAATATATTGTGAGAGAACATGATTCTCACCTGCTGATGTAGATCTTTTTACAAGAGAAGAGTCCTTCCCAGTGTCCATCTTTCCTTCCTCAAAGGGCTTTGCTTTTGCACATGTTTTCCTCTCATTTCTTTTGGGACCAGTTCTGCATTTTTACCTCTAGAGGAACATAGAGAGAAAATTTCCTAATTAATGTACCTGGTGACCAGCCAATGTGCTGCAGTAATGACTAATGGCAAGCATTCACTCTGGTCCTGATGCAGTGTGCAATTTTGGGAGTGTGCCTGGAGCCCTCTAGCACCACAAGGACTCCCTTGGATCTGTATTATTCCACTTAGCTGAACAGGAATGGCTGCTGGCCTGCTTTCCCAGGCCAGGAATTCCCAGACTCTCTCATTCCCCTTTCCATGCCTTTAGCATCCTATCTTTGGGTCTTCCATGCCAGGTCTTTGGAAGAGCAGCTGGTTCAGGTGCTCCAGTGAGCAGGTTCAGGTCACCCTGCTGACTCCAGGTTATAGAATTGCACAAGAAATATCCTCAAACTAAGGATGGGGCTGGGGACTGTGCTTTGTTTTTATAAACATTGGGAGTCCTTGAAACCCTGAGATGCTGCAAAATCTCACAATAACATATGGTCAGTTCTTCTAGGATATTACAGTGCTTTTTGGGTAATTACCATTCAGGTCATTAGGAAAAAGTAATGAATTTTAAACTTTTGAAATGAGCGAGAACAAGAAAGCCAAAGATCAGGATTCCTGGGAATGCAGCATACTGAATCATAGTGCAGTCTATTATCTGGCAGTACTTTTTCATCAGTGCTGTTCTGCCCAGTCTTGGAAAGCTCAGATGTAAAAATGTCATCATTTAATTTTCATGCCTTTTTATTTTTTTAAAATTTCTTAACTCACATTTTGTGTACAAAATGTAAATGCTCGACCACTAAAAATTAGAATGAAGTAATTTCATAAAGAGAAAATCAGTGAATAAATTTGAACAGAAGTTCTCTGGGCAGCCTGTGCCAGAGTCCCAGTAAAGAATCTCCTCCTAACATCTAAGCTAAACCTATTCTCTTTTAGTTTGAATTCTTTCCCCCTTATTCTGTCACTACATTTCCAGGTGAAGAGCCCCCTCTGATTTCCCTATAGGTCCCCTTCAGATCCTGCCTTGAAATTCCCACATGATCTTCAATTCTCCAGGCTGAACAATCCAAGCCTCCTCAGCCTGTCCTCATAGGGGAGGTGCTTTAGTCCCTTTATGAACTAGTATTTGTTTCTTCAACTCTTTTTTTTGAACACTGTATTGTTGGATATTCTTTATCATTTTGTATTATAACATGATCTGGGTTTTATGCTGCCTTGAAGGAAGATGGAAGATATGAAGGAAGGGAAAGAATTTAAAAGTCAAAAGTGCATTAAAATGTGTATCATCATTTGTCCTCAATCTCATTTACTAATTACTTGTATGAAGAAGTAATTTCATATGTTAGAACAGGTTTACATTTTCAAGGCTTTTTTTAATCAGAGATTCAGGGTGCATGACAAGTGAACCGGTAGCTGTTTCCAGCATTCAGCTTAAAATGCATTAGGGAGTGCTTTGGTGGGGTCCATTTCAGCCTCAGAAGGGAGGGCAACACAATCACGGCACAGATTATTGCCATTATTTCTGTGCTTCTGCAGGCGACAAAGCATCTGTATGAATTTGTTACTATTAACACAGCTGGAGGTACTGAATGTTTGAAGTAATGCAAGCACAGGCTGGCACGGTGTCACACTTTGATTATAACTCCAGAGAGTTGGTCCTTCTCAACTTCTCTCTCTCTCTCCTGTTTCCAGGATGCTGTTATCTCCTCTGACCTTCATAGCCCAACCACTGCCATTGATTTTTAGTGAGTGTCGTTTGTGTTACAAATTGGTCTGGACCTGAATCTGTCTGTATTAAGAGGTTTAGATTCACACTTACTGAAGGTGGGAAAAGAGGGGAAAAAATTACAGAAAGTGGGAATTTGCTGAGCTGTCAAAACAGAAGTAAGCTTAAAAAGGTTTTATGGCTAATATAGCCTTTGAGGAAACAAGCATGAAAAAATGAAAGTGCAGCCCAATGCAATAAAATTGCAGTGTCCTTAAAATGATTACAATAACAGTGCTGTGAAGTCAGGCAGCTCTCAAACAATCCAGTGAATAGCTCTGTGCTTGGAAGTTATTTAGTTGTTCTCATGAATTCTGGATAAATGGGAACCATTACAAAATTAATCATTATTTAACTTAATGTAAGACACAGACTGTGTTCAAACCAAAATGAATCCATGAAATGCATTCTCTCCCAAAGTCTTTACTGAAGATGTGTGTTTCAAGATATGTGAAGTTACACTGAAGCATGGACAAAAACCTCAGACAGACAAGGCAGGCTGTTCTAACACCGTGGATTTAAAGCATCAGTGCCCAGGACTTTTATTATAGATTATCAGATGAGTTACTCTCAGGGCACTTCCAGACAAGAGAAATAAATACAATTTCAGTGTCTAAATTCTTTTTTAGGCCTGGTAGGCTCAAAAGAATTTAATGGCAACACTATAAAATTGGTATTAAAAATGTTCCCAGTAGTCCTTGCCGTGGCACTTACCTCCTCTATGACCTGCAGCAAACCCCTCTAAGGTCTCAATTTCTTCTCCATTGTATGGATAATAGGCATTGTTCTTGTGATGACTGAGACTTCCTTTTTGTCTAGAAAAAGAGGAGTAGGAGCTGGAGAAGGCTGGATTTGATAGCTTTATGCTGGTGCTTGCCAGCCTGATGAGAATGGCAGAGTCATGTCACTGTGTTGTCCTCTCTTTTCCTACAGGCTGTGTGCTACCTGAGGTGGCAGCAGCACTTGCTCCATCCTTAGGGCAGGAGTAGATGACACCCTTCTTCATTTATCCCCTCCTCAGACAAATGTGGCATCCTTCCTTTGGATTGTGAGGTGTGTGGCTCAGAAACTGGCAATTGCCAGGCTTGGTAAATGACCTTTCACATCAGAGAACAGTGGTGTTGGTGTACTAAAAAGTGCCATGAAGCTAATTCTCAGGAGACAGGAGTCAGTGAGAAGAGGGGAATGAAAATCTCTAGTGGAACCTTGGTAAAGCTGTATCCGTTTGTTGCAGGACCATCAGCAGCCCTCCCATGCCTCAGTTACTACTGAAATTCGCACACAAGGGGTTTCACATCAATCTATTTCATACATCAGTAGCTGAGTTTCCCATTATGTTGCTTGTTAAAATATTTACTAATCTTAGCAGAGGAAAAAGAAAAGATAGAAAAAGAAAAGGGAAATTCAAAAGAACTAAACTGTGTCATTAAAATAAAAGATTCCCTAGTGTTGTTTACAGTTTCTCTGAGATGGAGAAGTTCTGTGATCACAGACTTGAGACCACATTGATGATAAGCTGCTATTTAAAGCTACACAATTTTCCTGACTATTTGCATGTGAGGGCCACTGAGCCTGGGCCTCCAGGAGGCAGTGCCAGGGACTCTCTCTTCTCCTTGCTGGCATCACCTCACATGGAAGACCCTCAGGTCCTCAGCACCTTCTGCTGAGATACATCAGACTCTCCCAGGAGAAAAGCTCCTGTCACAGCAAAACCAGAAGTTGTACCTACCCTTCAAATCAACAAGGCATAAATGGGATGCTCTTCACACTGACTTTAAGGAGAGTGAGTCACAGAGCAAAGAGCAGGGTGTCACTGAGGATTAAGAGCTGGTTATGAGATAGAAGAGAAAGATTTGTCATGAGCTGCTGCTCCTCAGCATGTACAGAGATTAGTGGTACCCCATCGGCAAATTGTCTCTGTTAGGAAGAACTATGGAGGATTTAGAAAAATTCCAGTTGGATTTAAATACATTGAGGGATTAAGGAATACAATGGTAGATGAGATTCAGCTGGAATAAGTGTGACAGAATAATAGACATTAACAAAAAAAATACTTTGGGGGGAAAAAATAAAAAAGAAAAAGCAAAGGTATTCATTAAACTCCTCATAGCGTGTGCTCTAAGGCTGTGGAAAATCTGAAGAAAAGATTTGTTGTATCTCTATACATGAATCCTGCTCTTCATATGGTGGCACATATTTTCAGACTTGAAAATTTAAAAGAAGGCATGCTAATCCTGAAGGCAGTGGCCCATTTCCCAACATTTCTAAAACACGAAGTAGTGTAATACATATTGTAGGGAGATGGAATATGAGTAAACAAAGGAAGTATAGAAAGAAATCTTACCCCCCTAAAGAGTTGCAGCTGGGTTAATTGTTAAAGATTAGGAGCAAGCCTGATTTTAACAGGCCACAGCTGTAGCAAATCAGAAGAGTGTTATAAAAGAGTGGATTGGTTGGTTGAGGCAACTGGAGTTAGTTGGCTGCTGTGAGGACACGGAAGAGTCAGTGCCTGGAGGAGCCGCCTATGAGAAACATCAAGGAGGTACAAAACTCTGGCAATACGGAACCCTTGCAATGTAATGACAAAGAACTCTTGCAATATAGTGGCAACAACAGATCACTGAGGTCAAGAGTTCAGGAGGAGATATTTTTTAAAAGAGGGATTTTTCTGACTTTTAAGCAGATACATAATCACATTAACTAATTGTTTCTAGAATTATAACTATAATGTTATTTATTTTCAGAAGGAATACTCTTGCTGCAGGGTATAAGGCAAGAGGAATTCACTTCGAATTCACTTCTGATATCTGTCTATTCTTGGCCTAGGCTGTAGTTCACATGTGACACATGGAAAGGGCTTGACTGATACTCTTTTTAAATACAAGGTTCATGTGTTTTGTGAAGATCATGTAAGGAAAATGTGGCACCGTTCCTGACCTCTGAAGTCAGAGAAAGAATCAGTTAGTGATTTTTTCATGTATAATATTCTCATTTATTTGGTCAGGTGTTCCTAGTACTCCAGGGATAGAATATCTGTATTTTGCTACTTTTTGACTGGGTTTTGGGCAAGTGCCTGAATAATGGCAATTTCATAGACACCATTTCACCATGTAAGTTTTTGCTCAGGGAACTGAGGAAATACTATTTTTGAATACTATTATTGAATAACTCTCTTTTTATCTTTCAATCTTTCTTTCTTGATTGTTAGTGCTGTAAATGTGCTAACAAATACAACAATGCCCAAGCCAAAGAAAAAGAAAACAGAAGAACTAATGTTCATTAGAAGCTGAAGTTTATTGTTTGTCCAAGCACTGTTTTTCCCAGGATAGATGGATTTTTAGGTGGTCCTTACTGAGGCAGATCCCAGCTGCTCACTTCTTACCCTCCCTCAGAATTTTTACAGAATTATCTTGGACTTTATTTCTTAACACTCACTTTTGGGCTATCTTGTATTTAGTGCTAGTTTTAGAAAATCAGGCAGTAGCATGTTCAAGGTGGTCTAAAAAACCTCCAGTCTTGTGCTGGTGGCTGCTGCTGAGAGCTGACTCAGGGTCTGGGGTGAGCATGTGCTGTTGGGAATGTGTTTCCTTCAGGATGGCTCTTCTCACTCCTTCTTGATCCCAGCAGCAGGAACTAGAAATTGTTTTCCTGCTCTTTATCCTTTTGTCTTGATTGCTTTTAGCAGGCAGAGCAGTCATGGCTGGTGTGCACCAGCCCCTTGCCCATGACAGGCAGTGCCCAGGTCCTGGCATTCCAGCTCCTCCACTTTCCTTGCCAAGCAGCGCACTGAGAGGGAAGGTAGGACGGGAAAGAAATCAAGCCTGACACTGGCCCATGAAAGTGGGTGGTTAAAAATGCAGAAGTCACCTGTTTCAACATTCCCCCTCTTTAATATTTACTATTTTGTATTCATTAGAGCAAGTAATAAGCAAACAGACAGTTCCTAGCACACCTGTAAGACATTTTACTGAAGCTCTGAAATACCTGCACACATGTCAGAGTTTCATCACTCAGCCTCATCTCCATGACATGCTCTTTTCCAGGCATGGAGGAAGAATGGCAGCTTGGCTGGAGCTGGCCAGGCTGCCCCTTCCTGCTTCCCACCAGCAGGGATTTTGCCTGCACCAGTCAAAGTCCATACTGCTGCCAAATGGTGTTAGCAGCCAGAGAAAACTGGTCCTCAACATTATTCATCCTAAAGACAGACTCCTTATTTGACTCTCTAATGCATTCCATATGGTATTCCAGGCTCATACTGCTGAACTTTGATTTTTCTTTTTTTAGGTTTAGCTTTTTATCTTCAGTACTAAGGAGACTGTGCTGCATATTAAGAAAGTGATACCATTATAGCCTGTTGCTCTCTCAGTGACAGGAAGCTGATTTGATGTCAATCAAAACAAAGATATTACTGAGAAATGGCCAGGTGGAACTTCTTTAAGTAATTGTTTTAAACTTTGAAATTCATCTTACTTAAAATTCAGTATTTAAAAAGACTAGAGGGAAAAAATTACTCTCAGTAATTTTACTGTGTAAAAATTACTCTCAGTTCTCAGATCACTGCTAAAAAATCTTCAGTGTGAAAGACATTCCTGTTTGTGTCAACTAACAGAATGATTGTTAAAAAATCTTAAATATAAACACTCAGAATAAATATAGTGGTAGGCAGGACCAAGAAAATTGTTTTTCAGATCAAAACTCAGATTAGCTCCTATAGTAAAGTACCACCACAAGGAGCCATGAATCTTTGGTGAACTCATCCAGACAGGTCTTCTGGTTACGCTTTTTTTTTTGCTAGCAAGTGAACCTGCGGAATAAAGAACCAAATGAGAAAGAATCTTAGAATTCTAACCCAACACTTTGGCCTGCAGGGCATAATCTGTGTGTAGCTCTAATTGTTTAATAAAAGTTGATTACTGAAATTAAATTCTTCAACAGATTTCATCCATTCAGCTTCTGTTTTCAAGAGCTTTGGATATGTGCTTTGTTACCCATGTGTTTAATATCTTTTCCCTTTAAGGCACATTTCTAGGTGTAAAGCTGAAATGTGGTTATTTCAGAATTTAGAGTGAAAGCCAGACTGACTCATTTAGGTACCAACCTGCTGGATGATGCTGCACATATTCCCCAAGGATGTCATCCACTTCATTTCACATCGCTGAACTTCTTGAGAGACAGGTGAAGACATACCCACACGGGGAGGTTAGACACCTTCTTTCCTCCACTGATTAGAAGAGACCTTTGAAGACTTCAGAAGACAGCCCAGACTGCAAAATATCTCCCTGTTTCACTGAGACATGCCAAACAAGTAAGATGTTCAGGGATCCAGTGTGCCTAGTGCTGCTCTGCTGACAGGCACTGGCTCTAAGATTTTCTGTCTTCTGCTTATTACTGTGGGGCTTGGAAGGTGAAGCAGGAGATGGAAGAGACCTTACTGAAGTTGTTCTGAGCAGTTTAAACTTCCACATGCTGGAAGAGTGATCTGTGTACCAGAAATGTGAGGTAACACTGTCCATCATCCTCTTGATGGCCCAGTGGTTTGTCTTCAGGCCTAAAAGCATCAGAGAAGGATAAATAATGCACAGAAGAGGATCTTACTCTTGCAGCACTCAGAAGTAAGGAAGATTGCTGGTCTAAACTTAGTTTCTTGAGCATGTGTGAATTGAAAATGGTTTTAAAGTCAGCATGTCTGAATAAAATGTCTCAGTCCCAAAAGTCCTAGATTCTGTTTTCAAGCTCTGCTTCATTCTCTGATTAAGATGTGTATTAAATGCTATTCAAGCTGAGCTCAGGTGTAGCCAAACTTCTGAATATTCTCCACAGGAGATAAATGGCAGTGTCTGTGCCACTGTGCTCGAGTTTGGACAGCAAAAGAGGCTGGGTGTGAGTGGCATTCACCTGCCCAGAAAATACACTTACTGTTGGGAGGATACTGTAGTTAAGCATTCAGGCAACTTTGAGTCTGCAGGGAAATGCCTTGCAATTTTATTGTAGTGCTCATCACTCTTGAAAATGGGCAAACTGGCCATCATTGCCTGTGTTCTAAGCAAATTTTAGGTGTATTGAACCCTACCTTTCTTGAGATTTTACTCAGGATTAGACTGACATTTAGGTTTAAAGAGTGCAATTCCCAATGTCAGGCCCATTTCTGTACTGTATATTATTCTTCATTTTTGCAGAAAATGATTCAATTGAATTAATCTGACAGGGCTGACTGGATGTCCATCACAGTGCTGCATTACAATTGCTAAACAGAGTATTGGAAGGGCACTAGGTACAGTCTGGTAAAGACAATACATAATTTGAATGACTGCACTAAGAGAGCATTTCTGAGTTCAATAAGTGGGTTTCTAATGGCACTTGGCAATAGGGAAGAGGAAAAGCAAGTGAGAGCAACTGCTTGTGAGACTGACATAACCTCAGCATAACACTGAGCTACATGTTGTTCTCCTTGGGCTGAGAGTAGGCTTGGCAAGCGCCGGCAATCAAGCCATCTGTATAACTGCATCAGATTTCTTGCTACCAAAATGGTTCAATTTATGGGATTGTTTTGACAGGCATGTTGGGAAATACAGAACATATAGTTTTCATCATTGTTTACTTCTGTTTTTCCTCTTGTTCCCTTTGACATTGCCCACTGGCTCATATTAGAGTTTGAGCTCCATTTAGCTCAGCATGCAGAGCTGGCCGTGCTGCCAGTGTCCCCACAGAACTCCTCCTGTGCCTTCATTTACATGCTTCCTTTTTGTTCTTTAACCAGAAGGGGAAACTTTGAGCCTTGAATGCATAAATCATTAGGTCCAGGTCAAAAATAGGCCATTATTCAAA